TAAATAAATGGAGTAAATAACTCCGTCAGCAACAACTCTGGAGTGTACAAACTTAATTCCGCAGCAGCAAACTGCATTATATTTTGGGTGGCCAGTTAGGGCTGCATGCTCAAGGACCTCTCGAGGTTTTGGTGAATCACGCTTTCACAAAAGAGTTCTTATTTCCTGTTTATACTGCCTCAGACTGTCTGCTGACTCCCCACTCACTGTTCACCCTACTAACCTCACCTACCCTTTGTAGGTATCAATATTATTATAATATGTATTATTAATATTCCCAGCCATTCTTTGCCACAGCCCTAATCAGATGGATACAGATAAGAGAAAATTATTAGAAATAGAAAGGATTAAATTTGTCACAGTAGCTTGCATCTTTGTTTTATGCACAATCACAGCATTACAATACACTGGATTGAGGAAGAGCCATGTTCCTCTTGTGTCATGATCAGAGTGAATTACTTTGACGTACCAATCTTACTCTGTCCCGAAGTCAAGGAATAAGACAAAAGCGGCCTCAAATTTCTTTGTTCCAGACGTGAAGGATTTGCACTTACAGACAAATATAGTTGGATGGGAGAGGGATAAGAGCCAAGAATAAAATGATTGCAATTTCCAATCTGGAGCTGAACAGCAGTATGAGCAGAGATGAGATGCAAACCAAGAATCCCTTTGGGGGTGAAGAATATGGATTATAGGATCCTGCTGCTGGTCCACAAGGACGCAGGTAATCGCTCAGCTGTTTGATATCCTCTTGTAGGTTGTGCTTGATGCTACTGTGGGCTTTTTACTCACCCTGAAGAATATCTGATGATATGATCAATGTTTTTTTTCCTTCTTTTATCTTTGACACCTTTTAAGGAGCAGACCTTTACTTTCAGGGGTTGCAACTCCCGTAGAGTCCTTGTGTTGCATTGCCAGCCCTGCAGCCTGTTACAAGAGATTGTATGTGTTTCAGGTTATGGATCCCAGTGGCATAATGAAATAGATTGCTTACTGAATGCAAGAGGAGCTGCCTGTGTGTGTGTGTGTGTGTGTTTATGGATACAAGTGATATTGTATATATTCCTACACATTTAACTGCACTAAATGCTCACTCACAAAAAAAATCGTACATGTGGTTTTCAGAATATAAGCTTTTGGTTATAACATACAGTTTTAAAAAATACAGGCTGTCCACATTTTCATTGAGCGAAACTGGGCACAGATGGCTCTAATGTAATCTCTTCAATCTGCTATTAATCACACTGGACAGAAATGAGGGAAAAGACTGCATGAAAGGTCGTGAAAAGTTGGATTTGTAGGATGGTGTCTCATGATAACTATATGCAAGAAGTGCGTTTAGCATTGATTTTGACCCTTATTTTTCTTAACAGGTTTACCTTTACCAATTTATTGTATTGCCAAACCCAACAATGACTATCCTCATTCCAATTTTTACGCATACAATCTTCATCTCAGCAGTTGTGACCAGGGATTCAACAGAGCTGGAGGCAGCAGGATCATAGCTCCATACACGGTTCAGGTGCAGTTTAGTCCAAACACATCAGCCTCAAGCCGGAGGCACCTCTGCTGCAGTGAGCAAGCGGGGCCTTCACTTTCACACTTACATTTTGGTCAATGCTCACAAGGAGCCAATTATTCAGAGAAATCATGTTATAGCAGAAAAAAATCTGAGAACTTGTTGACACGCACTGCAGTAACCTGGTTACTCTAAATTCCAACATGCAGCTGGTCAACCCACAAGATGTCTCCAGTCTCTTACAATCCACTCTTCTTTTTATATGAACAGAACATTCCCCTAATTTGAGAGAGATGTTTTTACTAAATCTTGTTTAAAGAAAGGTAGAACCACCGTGTTTGATCAACTTCAATTTCCGCAGTCGAAATTGCCAGTCGCTTGGCTTGGAAAGTTATTTCCTCTTGCACAACCCTTAGCAACTGTAAAGCAGTAAAGGAAATGTACTGACCATCAAAAACACACACAATTGGAACCATTAGGTTCAATATAGATCAAATACATCATACTATTTCAACCAAAGAAGTTCGAAAGGGTTTACATCCTTGAATCCAGGCTTTTCATAGGATGGTGTCAAACAAGCAAAAAAGCCGAGACAATTCCCTGCATGCAGACTCTTCAGATGCAAAAAGAATCCACCATGAATACTCCAAGTGCAAAAGACGTTTGCTGATAAGTTCAAGTTGTTGGTAAATGATTGGTCATTGCTGTTTGCCTGAAAGCCTATTCATGTATGTATACATCTTGAAACCTAAATGTTCACTTTTCACTTGTCTTAGTTTTCTCTCTTATATCGTCCTCTGATAAGTTTGCCAAAAAAATGCATTCTAAAAATACAAATTTGGCCATTTGCATCTGCTCTCTAAATTACCAAAGGACTGTTGTTGTCGACAAATTTGAAATGTTCACTTTAATATTTCATTTGACACAGCTGCCAGAAGAAAGATAGCAGCCACAGCAGAGACTGAGAGGACAAAGGCCACACAAAGAAGAGAAGAGTGAGCCTAATAAGAAAAATAGTGGTGATAACACACTAACTGCTGATAACAAATAAAAAGGGACACTGAGTGGCAGCTGTATATTTCCAAAACTAATCACATTTAGGAGTTCCAATTTGCAGGAAATTAACATCAAAATTGCATCTGAAGGACCTAGACATCTTGACTAAATTTGAATTCTGCCACCAACCTTTTCTTTTAAATAAATTAGACACCCAGGCTTCCTGCACTTTATTTATTTATACATTTTCTTTCCCTTTCTGACCTTATATTGCTTGACGAGCACTCAACAATTTGTGTGAGTCGCTACAAAATCACCCACAAATCATTTAAACCACTGATTGTTTTTTGATGTTTTGATGTTAATTCTCTAATCCAGATATTCAAATTCAAAGAGACGTTGGGCTGACACCTCAGTTGTCTGCTCCATCTGACACACTATGGGAATAGAAAGGGACACGGAGGACAGGAGTATGTATGATTATCTACTAAAATGTTTGCGGATCGTTGGCAAAGTGTCTCTCCACACACAGCGGAGGAGAGACCGGTGAAGTGAAGATAATGTGGTTGGTACCGGTAACAAACAGTCTCGGTAGTGAATAGTGTGACATTTGTAGAATTTTATTCCAGTGGTGTTTGCGAATGTTTGTTTCCGACTCGTGTGATCCAACCATTTCCAATAATGCCATATTACAAACACGATTGTCTCTCATGAAATATTCTTGCCCGCGCACGCAATGCATCTGCATGGCTGAGTCGTACACAGGCGCACATAGCCTAAATACACACACATGAGACTTTTAGTAAATCATCAGGTGCGCACATTTCTTGTCTTCCGTAAACCTTTCTACCCTCCAAACACGTACACGCACACACACACGCACACACACACACACACACAGGGATTTCTGCAATGAGTGACTTTACCTTGATCTACTAGTTTGATTAAGCGATATGCTGGAGATTGAGATGTGATTGAATTGTGCTCAGTCACCGGCTGCCATGGTCAAAGTCATTACAGCTGACAAACTGTGTTCAAGCTAAAGAGTGAAGAGTCCTTGAGGTGAACTGAAGCCTATTACGAAGCTATAACAACAATGAACTGCTTTAGAACAAGGATTAATGACGCATATTGAAACGTTAAAGCACGTTTCAATATGATCATAAATGAATAGTTGAGTATCCTGTACTCAGTGTGGTTTAATAGTTTAATTTCTAGGAGAGAGCATCAAGAGCTTGATATATTGTTTTTTATAAAACCATACATGTGCAGCCTTGCAGCACTGCAGCAGAGACACACGGCTGCTCATGTTTCCCCCTCATCACAAATCCTACTTTAACCGCAGGGAGAGCCTACATATGAATAATGTCATCACCTTTGTGTGACTTCAAAATATTGATCATATTTTAGTGTTGCCCCACAAGAGAAGAAGAGAGAAAGGATTAGACTTTATTCAGTGTCGAGTTTGCTTTTCAAACACATTGCCGGTGTATTTCGCAGTGGTGGAGGGAATATATAAGTACCTTAAAAGTAAAAGTAAAAGTACCAATCCTACAATGTAAAAATTACACCACAAGCAAAAACCTTGCTTTTAAAATACTAAAGTAAATTAATTATATTACTGTTGCATTGGTGTGAGCAGCGTTGATCTCTTGTAGCTGGAACTAGTTTTAACTTGTTTATATACAGTTGGGCAGTTTAGTTTAGCCGGTGGTTTCAACATAGATGACGGAGTCGTGAGATGATTAATGGGAGAGCAAAGTAGCAAAGTAGAGAGCAAAGTTCTGCCACACAAATCTGTCTACATTTTCTGTACTTTTCTCTAATCTTTACCCTTTTGTGAAATATTGAAAAGTGTTGCATTTTGGGCCCTGAGCATTGAAATTAAACCACCTGAGACGTTAGAAGTGAAATGTCTCTTAACTGTAACTGCTAACAAATCACAAGCGGCCCAAACTAGACTCTACTTTTGTAACAAATCGCAAGACAAATCGTTTGTAGCCACTTATGTGTAGCTCATTGTCAGTTAACTCACCCTTCTGAGAGGGAAATATCTGGTATGTGAAGAAAATTGAGTTAGGTCTGACTTGTAGTAACGATACAAGAATAAAACAACGCTCACAGTGTCACGTTTGATCATCAGATTCACAGCTCACTCAATAATCGGCGTGTTGGAGTACTCGCTGTATATCGTTTTGAAACACTACTAAAGTAAATTAACAAAGCATGGTGTTTCATTAGCTCATCATGTGTTTTTTGTGTGTCTTAATGTGAAAGGTAACTGGTACCTACTCCTGTCAAATACATGTAGTGAGTAAAAAGTAAAATATTTCCCTCTGAAATGTTGTGGAGTAGAAGTACATAATAAAATAATCTTTCGTAAGTGTGCTTCATTACTTTCCACCACTGGCATTTCAAAAGTTATGCTTTAACCTGACTGATAGATGTATGGAAATACTTACTGTCTTTTGTGCTTTGCTCACAGCTACACCCTGCGTGTTGTCGGCAACGGGATCAAGGCTCAGAGTGCCAACCCTGAAGTCAAAGTGAAGGGAGCAGACCCTGTGATAAATCAGATCATTGACAAGCTGAAGCACGTCAATCAGGTGAGCCCCCCTTGTTGTCTCTAAATATTTACTGTATCTACACTATAGGAAATCTTTCTCTTTTTTTGTAGCTCTCACTCCAAGTCCAATTTAAGTCTATAAAAAAAAAAAAATGACTGTAATGTCAAATGTCTAATTCCATCCCTCATTCTATCAAACATATGGTATCTGCCTCCTCAGGCAATATGCTAATTCTCTGTGAGTCTTTGTGAGTTTATGGAACATTAAGTATCTCTCGTTAAATTCTGGCTTGTTTTTCAAGGTACACAGAAAAGAAACAACTGCTCACAGAGCTGTAGCCTCTTATTCATGACCTTTGAATAATCATATCATCTTTCATATTACCAGTAAGTAACGGCTAATAGAAAACTATCCTCAAATGCAAAACCATCTCCAGGCAATGAAAAAAAAAATCAATCTTTACACAGTTAGAAACTCATTTTGTCTGGTTTGCGTGTCTTCATATTTACAAAATTCTTTTTCTGCTCTTTGTCAAAGTCAATGTAGCTTTTCTATCACCCGGCCTGCACGTTTGTGCTGCTGTGGCTCCTTTCAGTGCTGTTTATCTCTCAGTATGATGAGATTAGAGCAGTTTACTGGAGCACTTTCTCTTCTGCAGCTTCAATAACAGCTGCTGTAGCAGCTTCTGGGTTGTTGTACTGTGGCAGCAGTTTCACATGTCTGTTGCTTTGGTTTCCCAAGTGGCAGGCTGAAGGCCAGGTCATCTCTCTTGACCTGGTGCTGGCACCCCCTCCCTGACTAATTCACACCATCTGTGGGATGTCAGAACACATAAATCTATATCATAACCATTTGAGAGCACCTGATCTGCCTCGTTGACATTCACTGTGTACGTGTCTTTCTCTCTGTGTGTGTTTTTTTTTGCCAGCTGCATCTTAAATGTGCTTCTTTGCATACGTCCTTGTGGTTTTGTGAATTTTAACCTAAAGGAGAAAGACTGTTTTATGCTTTTAAGCTTAGAAAGCTAAGAAATTGTTTATCTGCTGCACATGATTTACTGTTACCATGAAACAGATCACGATCGTCAGATCAGCAGAGCTTATGTAATCATTTATAATCTTCTGAGAGCAAGTCCTTCAGTGACTGTCGTCTGTTGCTTTGTTTTAAAACTGATGCTTTGTTTGAACACGTTTGTGCCGTCACAAGCAGCGATGAAACATGACACTTGGGCACAACACTTATGTGTAGCTCATTATCAGTTAACTCACCCTTCTGAGAGGGAAATATCTGGTGTGTGATGAAAATTGAGTTAGGTCTGACTTGTAGCAAAGATCGAAGAATAAAACAACGCTCACAGTGTGACATTTGATTTTCAGATTCACAGCTCATTCAATAATCGGTGTGTTGGAGCACCAACAGTATATCGAATTTGTCTGTTTTTGCTTCAGTTTTGGAATACTTTTTTTCAGCCCTTTCACAGTCTTTGAAATCTGTTGAATTTTTGAAGAAGTCTCTTTAACAATTCAAAGACAGTAACAGAGTAGATACACGGTTTCTTTCAAAAAGTTGTGACTGCCTCTTCCAGCAACATTTCTTCCAAGTTTACTTGGAAATTAATAGATGAATAAAAAGAAAAGTTTGGTATGAATGTAATAAAAGTCAAACACCTTACACTGACTTACTGTCTGCCAATTGTCCTCAAAAAAATCTGCCAATGTAAATGCATATAAAAGATTTGTTCAGCAAAGGCAACATGAAATTAAATGATAACGCAACCTCAACGGAGTTTCAACCAGAGCTGATTTACAATGTCTTTCTTTCTGTTATATGATGTGTTTTCTGTCATGATCCTACCTCCCAATAAGTTGGTCTGAAAACAAATGAATGTTTATTATTAAAAGACATTGTCAGATTCATATTTTTTACATATTTTTTGAGACTCGTGCAGCGTCAGTTGGTTGGTTGGTCGACCACTTTGATTCACAGCTATGGATTGCCGTGACATTTTACTCAGACATTAGCCTTTGAACCCTGACATTCCATCCAACACATATCAAGTGAAAACAAAACAAAAATAAACACATTTTGTAAAGGCATTTATGGTTCCCAAATGATTTATCCTGATGACTTTGGTTGATCCCCTGACTTTTCCTCTGGTGCCACAATGAGATTAGTATTGGATGGATTGCCATGAAATGTGGTACACACATTCACATCCCTCTCAGGATAAATTGGACTAACATTGGTCACCTGATTTTTCATTTAACGCCATCATTCGTCAACATTTTTATTGGTCCAATATGACCAAATACCTGCAAAACTAACAACATTTCCATCAGCCTCAGCTGCACTTAGTGCTTAGCAAATAGCACGCTAAACTGTAGTGAACAGGTAGTAGACTCTCAGTTTTGTTTAGACCTGGGGGCTCATGAAATTTAAACATTAGTGAAATATATTCACACATTAACAAATTTAGCTATCTTCTAAATACTCTCATTAGCATCCTAACAATTATCCAGCTACATACGATTGATAGCGTCATAAATTGTCAAGGCAGCTGTATAAAATCACTGACATTTCCGACCAGCATGATGATTCATAGAGCTCAACAACACCAACAGCTGTTCTCACTCCCAACATGTCAAATACGGCAGCTTGATCGGTGGTCCCACGCTTCAAACTATGATGCTCTACATGGCCATAGTTAAGGTGGTAGTAAAGGAGGAAGTCCGGTGAGGTAGGGAGGAGGAGGTGGATGAGGAGGAGGGGGGATGGTTGGGTCCAAAAACACACCTAGGTGACCACTGTTCATGCCCTCTGTGAAACCAAAAATCAACGTTGAGTTGTAACCTACGTAACCAAAGTTACATGACGTACTTAACTTAAGTTGCATACGTAATGTACTAAATGTGGCAAATGTCCATATTTTAACATTAGTAGTTTTGTTGCTTCAAACGAACTGACACATGCAAAGATGACTCGTGCAAAACTGATGCTAGAAGGATACGTACGTCATAGTTTGAAGCTTAGGGCCACAGACCAAGCTGCCATATTTGAAGAGTTGAGTGTTGACAAAAACACCCATGTTTGACACACTTCAGCAAAGGCATTACAAGTATATTACCCACAGCTCCAACAATCCCCCACCTAAGTAATAACAAACAAAAGAAAGTGCTAATTAGTCCCTCAGAATATAAATATAAAGTATGAAATGAATTCGCTCAGGGAATTAACAGCTTTTCTGTTAATTAAAGACACCACAAATGCAACACAGGAGTCTAGTTTTTAGCTGTTAAACAGAAGTTCATGTTAGGTGTAAGAATAAAACAAGAATCTCCAAAAACTTTCTATATCACTTGAAACACTCGGAGATTAGTGTTTTGTTACTCTGTAAATTTCATCCAGTCATTGTTAAAGCTGTATTCCGTGTACTCATTTCTGAATGAGAGATTCATAAGAGATCTTTGAGGCACCAAATCCATCTTCAACAATTTTAGACAAGATTTGGAGACACTGACAACAGATCACAATTTTACTCCAGCTTCTAGATTTTCCTGCTAATCTTTTCTGTTTAATTTGCTGGTTTAATCTGAATGTGGCCAATTTAATACCTTGTTCATCACTGAGGTGTGAGGTGTGATGGCTGCCTTCAGTAGTGTTCAAAAAGCTTCTTTCTTGTAAAATTGAGAGCCCTCAAAAGTTAGATGTTTGTTGTCAAAATCTACTTGTGTTGAATTCAACACTTGCCCTTTTGCACAAGTGCTGTTTGCCAAATCCTCATGTTCTGTGCCAGCACTGCCTCCAGCACATGCAGACAAAATATAAATAAAGACACCCTGCCTGTTCTGCTGGGTAAACGGTGAACCTTGTCTGTTTTAGTCATGATGAAAACCATCCAGATCTTGTGTTCAATGAGCTGTTCATTGCTGTAAGCTGTTACGCGGTTTTAGAGTTTTATGGGAAGTCAAGATGCAAACAACCTATAATTAATTGTTGCAACATCTCGAGTACACTCAAGCCAAATTACACTCCATCCCTGGGTCAAAGTGATACTCAAGCAGAAGTGCTTTGTTGTGTTATGTCTAAGCCTCATATCAGATACATATTGCACTGATTTGTTTTCTCCCAATCGCTCTTGTGAATAAGACACTTTACAGAAGCTTTACAAATACAAGGGTAGGGGGGGGGGCTTGATCATTCATTGTAGATATTTGGTAAAAGGTTCACAACAAATGGACACTAACAGATTGGTTGAATGTTGATATCAGGCTATGGGGGGACAATAGACAAAAGTCGCATTCAGATGGACTTGAGCCCTGCATGAAAAAACACAGCTTTCTCATTCATTTGAATGTAGCCAGTCGATTGGCGCAGCATGGTTGGCAACATGCTTCGGTAAAACAATGCAGGGTCATCGAGCTAAAAACAAAATTTAACCTGGTTCACCTTTTCTCTCATTGGACGCCATCTGGTTAGGTACTGCGATGGCCTGTGAAATACATGCCACAGTGATGACTTTCAGAACCGTAAAATGTTCTCTGTGCGTATTAAAAAAGGCTGTTCAGTGTTTTGTCATCTGATACGCCTATAATCAACAACTCTGTTACTAAAATTGGACTTCCTGGATTAAATTTCATTGACTCATCCGTGCCTTAAACAACATGCCCCCACCAACGCTGACTGGGAAACCAGGATTGTTTTTTTGTTTGTAAAATGTTATTTTTATTGTAAAGTTTTATTTGCGTAAACTATTTCTAATTATTATAGCTGCGCTTTATGATATAGTGTGTGTGTGTGTGTGTGTGTATATATGTATATGTATATGTATATGTATGTATATGTATATGTATATGTATATGTATATATATGTATATGTATATATATATATATGTATATGTATATATATGTATATGTATATGTATATATATGTATATGTGTATGTATATGTATATATATATATATGTATATGTATGTGTATATGTATATGTATATATGTATATGTATATATGTATGTATATATGTATATGTATATATGTATG